CTTTCCCCTCACTTTTGTTAAAAGAAAGAGGAATGATCGACCCCAATATTCATGAGAAATGTTTCCATTTTATAATTTTTCTTTTTTTCCATAAATCATCAATACAGCGTGCTTATACATAATGTCTACCTTATGCCATACACTTTGATGGGCAGTACAGATTGGAAACATTAATTTTTTTTTTCTGCACAGCACTGAGCACAATGCAATGATCACTTAAATGCTTTTGATGACGATGATGATGGTAATGACAACGTAATGCTGTTCTGGTCTGAAAATATCTCATAGGTAGTCCAATATATTATAAAAAATTTGAGTTGTTCCTCATTCTATAAAGCTGTCATTCTTCATTAGCAAAAAAAAAAAAGGTTATAGTGAGTTATAATTAGTGTTTAGTGCCCTGTCAAATAATTAAGTATAATAAAAAGCTTTCAATGAGTTTAATGTTAACATGGTGTAATTAAAACCAGATCTTGAAATGCATTAGGTGTCTATTATGTCAGATATTTGACGCTGACACCACCCCCCAGGATGAAATTCTCAGATTGTGCTTAAAGCAATGTCATCATAAAAGCCAAAAATGCTCTTACGTCACTCAGATGCAAAATGGACTTTACAATGCCCAACAGTGTCCAAAGGCAGGATCCAGAGAATAAAGAAGGGAAACTGAGGCCCAGAGATATTTGGTGACTTGCCCAAGGTCACACACTGGTAAAGTATTCTTTAATAGTAAAAATGAAGGTTCTGGATTGTACTGAAGTTTAGGATTACTGTTGTTACTGGTACTCATTCTCTCTGGAATGTATGTAAAATGACAGTTGGGAAAAAAGTTTATTGGTCTTTTTCTTGAAGGGGTGGAAATATATGGGGAAAGTGAAAGCATATAATTTATACTTCTAGTTGTTTTAGGATGTAGGGCTTGCTAAAGCACCTATTTTAAGGGCTTAGATGAAGAGGCAAGGGTGAAATCGCCCTATTCTCTCATCAGAGTCACTGGAAAGCACCTGGACACTAGGCCGCCTCTAACCTGCATTCTTGGAGCTTCCCAGGCAGCCTTTTGTACATGTGGCATTATCTTTTCTGTCCACAAAGATTTTGAAAAATCTGCAGAGTACAAATAGCCCCTGAAATAAAGGCATCATTCAAGGAACAAAGAAGTAGAAGGAGGGCTCCAATTAAAATGATGAAAATCTTTAATTTTTATTTAGGTATACTTGTACGGACACGTGTATATACAAATACAGATTGTATGGACTTGTTTTGTGTGTGGATTTTTTTTTTACATTTTCTTTTATGTTTATATAATGTCAGCATTTCAAAACAGCACTGGATGAGTAAGTGCAAAGGAACTGCAAAGCAGGGCAGTACAAGCACAGGACCACACGGAGCTGGGTTTCACACCCAGACGCACACACAATGAGTGGCTTCAATGGGGTGTCAAGAGTAAGCATGGAAAGCGGATTTTGACTCATGGGTAACCTCCAACATGCCAGCATCTATTAAACTGTACAGACAATGGGAGCAAGCCCATTGTAGGGAGATTTGTCTCACATCCCAGCAGCAAGCAGCGCTGGGGCAAATGCATGGGAAAAACTCAGTGATGCCAAACCAGACAGACCTGCCCATTCACGGCTCTGAGGGAAAAGAAAACGCAGAAGGAAAGCAGACAAATTTTCTTTTTTTTAAAAAAAAAAGGGGGGGGGAGGGGAGGGAGGCAGGCAAACGGGGGTGTTGGTGGAGGTGGTTAAAAAAAACAAAACCAACAAAAAATGAACTCATGACCACAACTCTGACAGCAATGGATGGGGAAGGGGTAGTTTAAAGTATCTTTTCTAATTTGGGGGGGGGGGAACTGAAAATGACTGCTACTTAAGGCACCGGAGAAAAACAGAGTTCCCTGAAAGTCCACAGGTGCTGTGTGACTCTTCCTTTCACAAGGAAGATGTAAAGGAACAGCCCCACCTAATCTTCCTAGACCGATTGGTTAGCGACCAATCCCATGCTCGGCTGCACTGATACTGGCAAGACCCTTCCTGGGGGGATAAAAGGGAAACAGCCCATGGAAACGACCACAAACAGAAAGCCAAACCATAGTACAGAACCATCACTAAATTTCCTAAACCTTTTCAACCAACATGCTGGGGGAGTTAAAAAAAAAAACCAACCAAAAAAAAAAACAAAAAACAAACCACAGGGCTTCCACATCAGACCGTGAAAACATTGAGGATTATTACTATAGATCATAAAAGTCATGTTGTTCCAGGCTCCAAGACGGTGGAGTCTTGAGATTGGGGGAGCAATGACATACACAAGTCCTGTATGGAGCAGTGTCTCAGCCGTTTGTGGCTGACTCTTTTTTCAGCCACGCATACATTGGATGTTTCAAAGCCTCAATGCGTGTTTTGTATCTTGAAAGTCTATTGTTCTCACTTACAAAAGACATAAGAATCAAATTAATACTTTATTATCAAACACTATATACAACAGAGGTTGCTAATAATACAGATTTTAAAGAACGCAGTATTTTTTTCTTTTTTTTTTTAACGTTTTACTTTTCTTTCCTCTGCCACCCAAGAGAGTACAGTACAAAAACAATAGTCTAAACTAACACCAACTGTACTTGGTCTATTAAAGGATACACAGTATCCACTAAGCAGACAGACCCTTATTTCCCTGCTTCATGTTGCAAAGCCCTTGGCCACCAGGGCAAAGTTTGCTGGGGTTTGACTAGCTGGGGCGGAGGGGCAGCCAAAGCTTCCCTTGACTTCTGAACTGTTTGTGAAATTTTAAAGCTGCTAGCAAATTGCATCAACATCCTCCAAAACCCCCAGAGTATTTTAATACCACCACCAGAAAAGAAAAAGAAAAAAATAAAATAAAAAAGGCCACCAGCACTTTTTTGGAAAGGATGAAAACTCATAGCAGCCTGCATCTTGAAAACCCAGTAGTGAATGCATTACCTACAGTGATGTCGCGTACAGGTAGAGAAACACACTGTTTTCTGGCATAGGCAGTTTTGCTATTTTTTAAGTTACTTCTCAGTGGCACAATGGTGCAGGAAAGGGGCCTAATTTCATAGTGAAAAAAATGAAAGACAATGGCAGAGAGGGCCATGAGTAATTATTTCATCATTTGTTAAGAGATGAATGCTAAGAAAACCACAGAAGTCACCATTTCTAAAATGAAATTAGCACTGCTAATGTAGTTATGACTAAATGGAATCATTACAGAATCATTTGTTTTCCTTGTGGTTATAGAACATGCAGTATTACTTTGGTTCTGACTATTGATCCATTTTAGAAAGTGTCTCTTTCTTCCCCTGACCCAAATCCCACTGGCCCAACAAGCCTGTAACTATTAATAAAAAGAAGTATTACTGGGTATTACAGAGAGTACTGAGCATATAAATAGTCAAAGGAAATAGGAATTGAGTGCTGTGAACTTTTGTTTCAATGGAATGGTGACTGCCTTCTGTGACAGGGCGCTGCCACTGGAGGGAGGTCCCTGCTCACCTGGTTCCAAATGGGAAAAGACCCAGCAGTACCACCCACTCCGAAAGGATCATGTAAACCCAATTACATTTCAACATGTGTACAAATCTCCAGAGGGCAGTACATTTACAGCTGCCTTTCATTCACAGTTTTTCTAATTCACAACTACTCACAATTCTAAGCAAATTCTCATTCATTAAGTCTGTCCGTCATAGGACTCCTCCCCTCCTTTTTACACATTTTTAAAAAAAAAAAAACACACAAAATTTCTTCTTTTGCTAGAATGCTTCCATTTTTTTTTTGCATTTTACATGAGCACTGAATTTAGTTTGAAAGGCATAGCTTCTATTCACATGTTGTACAATAGAGAAGAAAGAAAGAAAGAAAAAGAAAGAAAAAAGAAAAGGAAAGAAAAGAAAAGGAAAGGAAACCAACAAAATCAAACTGCTTTTCCATTGTCCTGGTGCACTGCTATGGAATTCAATCTTCATTCGGTTCAGCCCCACCAGTTGGAACCCCAAGGCTTGCAATTCCTGGTACTCTCAAATGTTGGCCATGCTAAGATTCCTTCACCAGGGTCATTCCTCGTTTATGCTCCTTCTGCCCCACTCCCACAATGAAACGAGATTTCTAAATGTATCAAGGGATATCACTTTTTTTTTCTCACAAGTTTAAATAGGACAAGCATATATACCACTCTCAGAATAAAGTATATCTAAATAATGTATTTTCTATTCTAGTGAATTTTTAAAAAAATATTTTGTTAAAGTCTTTGGGACTCCATCTTGTTTATCTCCCACAGATAAACACATGTTCCCCTATGCTTTAGGCTGTGTCAGAAAGGGAAAGGGTAGAAAATAACAGTTGAAGTTTTGTGGGTTTTGTGTTTTTTTTTTCTTTTCCTTTTTATTTCAAACTTTGGAACTTTTATTCCAAATGTTCCTTAAGCCCTCCCAAGTGGTGCTGACTGACTTTTCTGGAGATGGGGGGCTTCTTTCAGGGGCCCCCACACTGGTGGAGGGCACAGAGCAAAATGAGTTCTGGGCTGGGAGTCGGGTAAAGGCCACAGCACACTGGCGCTCCAGCAAAGCCAAATCACATCTCCTTTGGTCATCTCCATCCTTGCCTTGGTGCAGATCGTCCCCCAGAGGATTATCCAAAGCTATGCCACTATGCACTCATCAACCCTGGCTTGCCAGCCTCGGGGAAGGTCACTTTATTCATAAAAATGCCTCTTGTTGAGTTTTCTAAAAATAAAATTGTTGTAGCACCATGGTGATCTGTATTCAAAGGAAAAAGAAAGAATCTGGTGTGCACTTCCCAGTCACCAAAAACATTAGAGGCACTCACACATACACACCCCACACCAAACACATAGTTAGTTGTCTCAGTTTTCTTATTTGCTCTGTGCAAGGATTCCTGCACCCAATCCGCCTCCTGGAAAACAAAACGGCTTCTTGGAAGGAGCACAGGCTGTGCTGTCAAGAATGCTTTAAGACAGTCATATTAAAAACAAAAAACCAGTGTCTCAACCTTTTAGAAGCCTGTTCATTTATACACTCCTAGAGGAAACGGTGTAATATTATATCTATTCTTAATACCTCCCCTCTGGACCTGACATGGTGACACGATGCCCGCACGATCATCTTACAGTTCTGAATGAGAAGGCATAAATATTGTATCGGAGAGTAAAACCCTCCTGGGCCTAGCCATCACTGGCTGCATCTGCCACTATTCTTCCTCGTCCATATACCGCTGATACATGGCACTAGCGGAGGCGAGCTCTTAGAGGAGAACACACAGGAGCGGACGGACCACTGGCGTCACTACGACAACTTGGCTTTTCATCTGGAGTCCATTTAATGTGGAAGGAGTGAGAGTCGTCATGGGCAAGGGCTCGGGGGCGGGCTGGGGTAAGAGAGGCAGCAACTAATTTAGCCCCCCTACCCCCCGAGTTGTTGCTTAGAATTCAGGCTGGAAAAAAATAAAAAGGAAAATAAAAATCTGACATCTGCCAAAAACCAATAACAAGTCCCTTCTTAGGATGAGTAGTTAGGTGGATCTCTGGTGTTCCAAGACCCTGATGTTCTCTGTGGCAGGTGACGGGAGGAGACTGTGCTATAATGTCAAGAGCATCGCCAGGAAGAACAGTAGGATTGCCAAAAGGCGGCTGGGTATCCTTGGTGTTTGTGCCGCGTTCTCGCCGCGGGATGGCTCGGCTGACTCATGTACGGTGTCATCTGTTCAAATAGAAAGCACACATTCCAATGAGATTTCACATCCTTAATAACTCTCTTGCAGCAGCCTGCTGTTAACAGACCTCACCACCCTCTGCAAAGTAGGGTAATGAACCTTGTGCCACCATTGACTTTCATGTCTGCATAATCACTCATTATTTACAGCAAACAAAGGAGAGGCAGAGGAAATGGGACTTTCTCTGCAATATTAACACCATGCTTACAAATTTAGGAAGGAAAAAAAAAAGTGTGCACACTCCATGGAGCCTTTGGAGTAGGAACTATTTGAGTTTTCTGGTGGTCAGACACACCTTGGACAAACTTCAGGTACCTGGCTATATCTTTACAGTTTAGACCAAAGGGAAGTGGGTAGTATGCTGGGGGATGGAGCAGGGGTGGGAGGGGAAAAGGAAGAAAGAGAAGCAGTTAGGCTGGAATATTAGTGGTTAACCAGAATGGACTGCCCATTTCCCTCATTTTATATATTTCCTAGAATTACTGCTGAATGCTTGCCTGGTTGTTGGATAACTAGATGATTTTTTTTCAAATATGAAAAAAAATAAGTGTCCAAACAACAATATTGTAAATAAACTACATACAATGCCCAGTAAATCTCAACCAATTCCGTGCCCACTGGTCTGTCCACAATTAGGAACCAATTATGTGCTATTTCCATTGCAAACCCTGAGTCTCCAGGATTAAATGACTTGAACTTGTCTGTTTTTATTTTTATCAGGTCGAAGTTTGGCACATAAATTATCAGCGTGAATGCAAATTTTCCTCTAAATAAAATGGATTAAGTGAGTTAAGCTTCTTTTATTTAGCTATAAAGTGTTCTACGAGGCTGCTTCTGACTCTGGATAGCCTTCCTGATCTACATGATTAACAGGCTTAACACAGAAACAGGAACTTTGCAGCAATTAGGACCCAGAGATGGATTAGAGGCTTGTCTGGGAGTTGCCATCTTCTTCCCAGCACCTGGCCTAACTTGTGCTTTTCGACAAAGTGATCTTGAACTACATGTTTTAGGGCTAGCAGTGGAGTTCCGGGCAGATTTTATTTCAGCATCAGGGGACTCTCCCACAGGATATCAGTAACAGTTGTTCCAGAATAACTTAATGGTCAGTCACAAAAAGCCGGGCCATGGCAGAACAACTCAAATGGTTGTTATCAAGAATATAGGCCTCAAGGAGTAATTTCTAAATACCCCTCAAGTGTCCAGCCGAAACACCTTAATGAATTAGTTATATATTATTTTTGGTGTAATTATATTTTTACACCACATACACATAATGGACAATAATCATTCCTCTCCTTCATTGAGCTTCCTGCTTTTTTATTATAAAATGGCTATTATTTAAACTCCATGGAGCTCTAGTGGTCTAGTTAGTATGGAATTGTGCTGCCAACTCAAAGAAAAGCGGTTCTAATCCACCATCCGCTGAGGGAGAAAGATGGGTGATTTATAGCCTCTGAAAACCCACTAGAGGGTCAGCTATGAGTCGGTTTGAGTCGACGGCAGTGAGATAATGGCTTAGTCAGTCTGGACCCTGCGACAGATATGTTCATTTGGGATGCTTCTGCAGGTAGTGGCTTGTAATTTAGAAGACTAGAAAGGGTTAGGATGCAACGTCCTGAAATTTGCAATGCAATACTTGTGGACCCTTCTCTTTCTCTGCTTCTTTTCTTCCTTGCAAACCTATTAAATCTACAGTTAACAAGAGATGGAGGTAAATGCCCTTAACAGCCCTGAAATTAAAATCCAAATCACTTTCATAGCACCAATATGTTATCAATCAGAACAATGAGGTGTTTAAAGCTTAATTGTGAGAGAACCATAAACCCAGACGAATTTCAGAGTTCATTCTGAGATACCACTTATATTTACACACCTGAAATGACACCATTTCCTGGGTTTTCCTCCTTCACCTTATTTTTTACTATTATAGTATTGTATCGTCCTCCTTGTACAGAAGTGTACTGTTAAAAAGTAGGCAAGTAACAGCTGGTGTACTCAGTGTGAGCATGGAGGGGTCCCTTTTTGTTCCTGGTCCCTTCCGGGTGCTCAGCGGGGGCCAGTCATTGCTTGATGCCCGCTCAGCACAGGTTCACCTTGCAGGAACCCCTAAAGAGGAAAGCTCTCATCTAAGTAAAGGCATATGAGCCGAAATATGCCTTTCAGTCCTCTAATCAGACAAGGTTTAGAACGATTCCCTTTCTAACCAACCAATGAATATGCTGTCTTGCCCCCAAAGGTGAAAACTCATCAAGCTGGGATAGCATGGTTCTTTCCTTCTCCCTGCAACAAGGGGATCTTCACGCTCAGGACTCTCTAAAACATTCTTTGATTAAAATAAGACTTCAATATGGGAGAGTCTATGACCCATGAGACTAAAAGGAAAAATTCACTACCAATTTGGGTAAATCTAAGCAATTTCAGAATTGAAGGGATTCAAAAGCAAAATCCATCCCAATGGAAAATGCAATTTCCAACGGAAATTACACCTAAATAGGAGAGAACTTCTAACACTTGTAACAGTACAAAGCTTGGAAGGAGAAAATGCTCCTCTTCCAAAGCCAAAACAAGTCTTGTCTCCTGGCTACAGGATTCCACAACATGGGATTCAATGGTTAACTGAGAGAACACTCGCAATACGTTGGAGCTTATTATGTGGCATATGTCTGCCCTGAGATCATCCTGCATCCCTGATGATAGGAAACTGGCAGGCAGAGTGTGCAAGCAAACAAAAAAGACAAATACATTCCAAAGACAGGTGAATTAGTACACATTGCCGAGAGCATGCAGTGGAATCCTTTCAGACTGGTTGGATCATAAAGCCTGGGTCTGCACCCAGAGCTAGAGAATGCGGAATATTCATCCATTCCAATGTTCAGCACAGTGGGGAAGAACTGCAAGTTTGGCTAAATTTCTAGAGAATGAGGTGATGTACACAAATCTGGAATTGTACTGTACTGCCATTGGAAGCAGAAGTGGCACCCACTTCCTAATAACATGTCTTCGGAAACTCTATGAACTTTGACAAATGTCAACAGTTGTAGAGGGGCTTTTGTTCATAGGGTCGCTATGAGTCGTGCTCGACTCGAAGGCAATCAACAACAACAATTGTACTGTCAGGACTGGAGCTGATCCTTAGCTGCCCTTTTTAGTGAAGATGCTCACCAGCAAGTGCTTGAATATAGTCATGGCTCATTCAAGGAGCTGTTTCAGTACTTATACACATGCCCATCACACACACAGAGGAAGACACATACATACACACACAAATACACACACACACCCCTCCACCCATTCGGTGGATCTTCTGAAGACAATCATCCATTACACGTGGCTAGAGTTTTGGGCCACTGCACATTTTACCTGCTCAGTGAAAAAGAGCCTGTGGAATATGGGTGCTTACAGAAGCATCTTGAGATCTAATATTTGATCATTAGTTGAATTCAGAGGTAATTTTCCTAATGTCAGAAAATGTCCTCAGTGTGCCAGAGAGAAACATGCAATCTGCTGTGTTTCTAAACAGTCTCTAATTTTCTAGGTAGGCAGTGGAGTTGACCTGGAAAAATGATCACTAGAAAGATGTGCCTATACTCTGAACCACTTGCTTTGGAAAACCTTAATCCAGGGCGGCTTACATTTCCACCAAGCCTAACTGCCAGTCAGCTTATTTGTGACAGATTCAATATTCAAAGCCTAGAGAATAAAGATCTCTTCGTAAACATTCATATTTCTAATAATAGAAGGGTAATTCTACTTTTAGGGGGCTCGGGCAGCCTAGTGGGTATGGAGTTGCATTGTCAACTCAAAGAAATAAAAACAAGTGATTCAAATCTACCAGCTGCTCTGTGGGAGAAAGACGGACAATCTCCTTTAGTGCAATTTATAGCCTCTTAAAATCCACTTTATGGTCTTGGGCAAGCCTACTCAGTTATAAAATGAAGAGGACAGACGCTGTGGTATTTAAAAGAGATAACATTTAACCCAGGCAGCCTGTGCTTGGACATCTCTTCAAGTTGGAGGAATTCTGGTACCTGGAGAAGCTGTGGTAATGCTTCTGGATTTCCAGGCCATGATTAAAATGTCTTGTCATCAGCGCTCATTCCTTGCAACTTTCTAAAGTGGTAAACTTATCCCTAGGGAGCCACTGAGGCCTCTGAGCTCTGATTGTACACACTTCTCATTTGTGCTCTGGGTAAGATGTCTGCCTTAGAAAAACAAGAAAGCTCAGGGGCGGGGAATCCCAAAACTAACTCTCTCTGTCAGTTACAATTTAAAAGCTACTGTATGTCCCGAGGCACAGCATTTACTCAGAGTAAGCTTCCCTAAGGCTCAATGACTGTGCTGTCCCTCTAACAATGCTCTGAGGATAAGGTAGCTCTTGACACCTTTTTATTTCTAGGATCATAAAGAGAGAAGCCCTTCTGTAATAGGCAAAAATAGAATCTTTGCTTACAAAAAGGGGTGTGTGTGGGGTAAATCTATCTGCGAAGAGGAGATAATTTTATCCCCCTTAAGGTTTAAGAGGGTCATGGAAGATAGGTAAGGGACGCAGAAAGAGGATCTCAAATAAGTGTGGTGAGGAGAAAGACCTGGGGAGGGGAGCACAGAAGTATGGAGGGATGGTCCTCAAGGGCTGGTGGGAGACCCTTATCATCTAGTTGCATTTGATAACCAGATTGAATTTGTAACCACCTGGATAGTTTCCAGGTTTACAAGACTCATAGTATTTTGCAGTGTAAATGCTTCAGTGAGTGGATTTTCTAATTTTTCTTTCCCCAAGGAAATAGGAAAGTTTAGGTGTGTGAAAGTCAGTAATCCAAAAATGTATTTATCCTGAATGTGCACTTCGCTCCGGCAATCAAGGACCACGCTTGGCTCAAGAGGCTAACTGGTCCATTTGTGGCAGCAGTGTATGTACGTGGGTGAATGTGTGTGTGTATCTGGGAGTCAGGAGGCAGCATGGCTGTCCTTCCCCAGGCCTCCTGCTGTTGACAGCAACAGTATAACGAACGTATGGAATAAAACAAAATTCTTTAGATCCGTTCACAAGGATGGTGAATTTATTGAGAAAAGTCAGTATAATTAGTTGTTATTTTGCTTATTAGTGTTCAATGTGCGAGAGTTTTCTCTCATATTCTGACACGGACATACATAAAAGAAAATTTTGTAAATATATACATTAGATATTTTTTCTATCTGATGTGCAGACAGATCCTTCAAAATTCACAGTGATTTACCAACATGCTCTGAGAGTGTGGTAAAAGGTTGTGAGACTTTTGCATTCTGATGGACCTTCTGTATTAGGAAAATGAATTATATCAAACCCATGTCGAAAAAAGAAATGTCGTATTTATATAGCATGCATTACACAGAGATACGGAAGGAATGAGGTAGAATATAAGTAATATTAGCATTGCTAGCAATGAGCAAAAGCAGAGCAACTACAGCATGCAAACATGCAGAGAAGAAGAAAGGAAAAAAAAGTTTTGAAGCACCAGAGAGATAGATGCATTTGTTAAAAGAGATTCTCTAAGCATACTAACCTGCTGGTTCTAATGAATTTTCTACTTTGTCGTTAACATCGAAAACACGATCATGAACACCTATAGTTTTCATACAGCTATCTATAACGAAAATAGAGATAACAGCCAAATATGTTAGTGAAGACACCCTTAAACTCCCGCTTCTTTCTTTTTTTCTTTCTCTCTATTTATTTTTTCCTTTTATTCATATAGAGACTGTTTTACAATCAATGGCATGTATCTGAATGCCACTATTATTCCCGTTTGCTCAGCATGTACAACAGTCTAAGAAACAACAAGTTAGCAACTGCTGTGTACTTAAATAAAAGCATCATGAAGAATGATGAGAAAAAACATGATGGAAACTAAAACATGGATGTTGCTATACAAAACAGATACCACAAAGGATTTAACAGTAAAAAAACGTTTCACTGCTGTGAACCAGACCACACAATAAAGCATGCGCAGTGAAGCCACCCTCATTCTAGTGAACTTACTTGTTGGTCTCACAAAGACTTTGAGCTTTAGACAGGACCTTCTTCCATTATCTGGGATTGCAGATGCTATGAGTAAAACAAAGAAAAAGAAGAAAGGATAAAAAGAGATTATGCTTCATTTTTAGATATAACCAGTCTATAAATCCCCCCCCCCCAACCATGTCCTTTCAGATTGATGAAGATGTATACATAAAGGGCTACTTTCCTATCTTGGTCAATCTTCTATTCTCAGGAAAATAAACTAAAAAAAAAAAAAAAATAAAAACCCAAACAAGCTCAAAACCTCATTGCTGTGGAGTTGGAACCAACTCATAGCTGACCCTCCAGAGAGTTTCCTAGAGGCTCTAAATCTATGGGGGAGACTGCTCAATAGAGAAATAGCATTGCAACAATGAGATTAATCTGTGCAAAGTATTCTGGCGTAATGTTACAACGTCTTTTCCTTTTAATGTGATCTGTTATCAATTTTCTTGAAATCAGAAAAGTAACGCTTGAGTCCTGCTTTTATAAAAGCTTCTCTGCCCACCAGAGGCTCAAGGTGAAAGTGCTGGCAAAACCCAGTAACAGTTAACAAGGGAGACTGGAACATGACCTGTTTCTGCTGGGGAAAGCAGAGCTTTGTCTGTCCTGAAAGCTTGTCTGTCAGTGTTTTGCAGGTAATTCAATTAGAGGTTTTACTCAGAACTTGGCTCTCCATTCTCTATGACTAAACCCAGCCTAGCAACTTCCATCATGCTATTATAAGTACAATATGCTATTGAGAAAGTACTATGTTGCAATGGTCTCTCTCTCCCTCTTTTTGTCACAGAGAAGGATGGAATTAATAAAGTGGGCTTACCAAAACATAACGTGTTTTAAGTTATAAATCATTCGAGGAAAAAACTTTCTTCTCCTCTTCAGGATAATCAGACTGCGAACTTTCTTCGCGTTTGAAAGATTATCTCCCATCGGCACACACAGGGTAATGTCAAAGGGATTCCCCAGGGCTCTAAGACCCTTTACAATCACTAATGCATGCGAGAAATGACAAAAATTACAGAAATGAGGGCTGCATGCTTTCCTCTCTATGCATCTGCTTCAAGTGGTTTCTTTGTTCAGAAAAAGCAGATGACATCAATCAAAACACACATGGCTCACAATTAGTTTTGTAATACCGTCAGTGACAGAGAGGAATCAGTCTTTGGTGTGCCTTCTCTCTCTTTTATTTTTATCCTTTATTATTCCTCCTGGGGAAACTCAGAAAATGAAAATGCATGTTTTTTAGGAGAGAGGATCTGGACACAAATTCCAGACTACCTTTACATGAATTTCCTCATCTTGTGGATGAAAATTCTATGCAAGTAACTTTCCTGAAGGAGAAATAATAAATTCACAACCTAAAAGACGGAAGCAGTAGTGGACTCCCAGTGTTCCTATCCAATACCTGATGAGAATTCTTTTAATTTAAAGATAAAAGTATACAGAAATGAAGTTTTTGGCCCTCCCCATCCCCCCTGGCCATTTTGACAAGCAGTTAAGAAGTGCTAACAGCTGGCTTTGCTGTGGGCTTTCATTAAATCAAAGTCGGAAAAACTCCCTCTACTGACATTTACTGTAACTAGTGTGTTATTTAGGGCACAATATTTGCACTCTGTGGTTTGATCCAGGAAATGGTGTCCTTCCTGTGGACCCCAAGTGCAAATGTGGATGTCACAAATACAGCACATATAGGCGACTCCATCTCATCAGCAAAACAACGGGTTCTAGACACACAGCTCATGTCATATTCATGGCAGGTGGTGTGAAAAAGTGACACAGGGATATTTACACTGCCATTCTTTGGATTTTTTAAGCTGAGATGAACTGACTTCAGGTCTCATGAACTTGATTTGCTACATGTGATAGCTGTACAGATGATACTGGGAGATACAGCCAGCTCAAAGCAGACTCAAACAATTAACTGTTTTTAGTGAACAGAGCTTTGGGTTCAGTAAGTCTTTCAGATTTCTAGTGAAGAAAATAACTTGTAAATACAGGGCATAAAAATCATTGTAGAGAACAATGGAATAACTAATCAACAACACAGGATAAGCTGCTTAGGAAATATGAATTCCCCCACTAACAACCAAGAAGGGACAATTAGCCTACTTCAGCGCCTGGATGAGCTATATTCTTTTGTGGACTAATAATATTAAAAGTATTTATACAAAATATAAATATCTTTTCCTCCTCACTATTCTCTATTACTTCCTCATCTTTTATCTACCACCAGAAAAGATCAGCTGATACCGTGTATTATTCTATGACTATTATACAAAAATTTGTGAACAAAGAATATGTTCATAATGTATGATTACACAACTTCCATTAAATGTGGGTGATTTAAGGTTAGGGAGTAAATTCCTAACTCCTCTGGCCACTATGAAAGATCACACCTTGCTAGGTAGGAGAGTTTAAATTAAAATGTCTCATTTTCTTTATTGATTTCTTTATTTATAACATTGGAAAACAAAAACTAAATAATAAATACTGCATTGGGACAGATGGAGGAAAGAACTGTTCAAAAGGAATATATATGATTAGGCATTATATGTACAACATCAGACCAGAAAAAGAGGTACATGGCCAAAAGGACTGTAGTGGGGGGGGGGGCAATAATTATGCAACAGTGAGAGAATATAAAAAAAAATACTGGGGAAGGTGAAGGGAGGAAGAGAGGATAAAAATGTATAACAATGAATGAATGAAAATCTACCTTTTCTGTAAGCTTTCATTAAAAAGTCACAATTAAAATAAAAAATTAAAAATTACATTCCATAGATCAACAATTCTTAACTTTTTTTGCATTATCCTTCTGGTTTTTTTTTATTAATTTTAATGATCATTTACAGAGATTTTGGGTTTCTGTTCACGCATTGTTGCACTATTTTCTCCACTCTCCCCCCAGTTCATTCCTCTTTTTTCCCCCCCTTGAAAGTCTGTTTTAATTGTCCCATTGCCAAAGTGCTTGTCAAAGCCAGTTCTGAATAATCTCCTTTGTCAGTGTGTCCTTTGCCATTCCCTATCACTCCTGCCTGAGACAGACTTCACTCTGATCCATAAGGAAAAGGGGACGGCGTATTCTCTTAGCTACTTCCAGCTGAAAAGGGACACTGTAGGTCTACATGTTTCCTATTGCCAATTCTTAACTTTTTATGACATCTTTTAAAAAGTGAGAATAAAGCCTTACTCCATGAATTACAGAGCTCTCAATGGCTTAGTAGTAAGGAGTTGCATTACCAACTCAAAGACAGGTGGTTCAAGTCCACCAGTGGCTCTGCAGGAGAAAGAAAGGCAATCTCCTCTGTGTAATTTACTGCTGGAGTGTCAGCTAAGAATTGATTCTGGCTCAATGGCACCTATCACTATCATACTATATAAAAGGTTTCTTCACCCCACACCCTCTAGGTAGGTGGAATGTAGGGACAAAAGTTAGATGAAATGATGCCTCCTAGAATGCAGTTTGTTTATTACTGGTGGCCTAGTCAGTAGGGACTTGCATTGCTAACTGAAAGGCAGTGCCTTTCTAAGAGTGAATACACTAGCATCTTTGAAAAGGAAAGGCTAGCAATCTACTCCTGTGAGATTTATAACCTCAAAAATCCAATGCAAGGTCAGCTATGGGTCAGTTCCAATTGGAGGCAGGGGGGGGGGGGAATAGACTGAAAGACATAAGGTAATATTAAAGTGCTTTGCTGCTGTTGTTGTTGCTGATTGTCTTCAAGTCGAGCAAGACTCCTAGCGATCCTATGAACAAAAGGCCGGAAGCCCCTCTATAACTACTGACATTTATCAAAGTTCATAGAGTTTCTGGAGGCATGTTTTTTAGGATGTGGATGCCACTCCTGCGTCCAAATGAAAGTGTTTACTGACCATAATTTAAAACAACAGAGGGTTGAACATCAAAAATCCAAAATAACAACGAAATTGAAAGATATATAATACTTTAAGTAAATTTATATAGAAGATCTTGACAAGATCAATCATAAGCAAAAGACTGTTGTATGTGCTGTCGAGTTGCCCGTGACTCACAGCAACCCTATGCACAACAGCCCTAAACCCTGCTCTATCCTGTGCCAAACTTATTGTCTCTGACACACCTACCTCCACCACCCCAGTGACTGAATCTCATCGAGGGTCTTACTCTCTTGCGCTGTCCCTCTACCTTCCCAAGCATGATGCCCCTCTCCAAGGAGTGGTCCCTTCTTGCAACATTCCCAAAGTATGTTAGACTAAGCCTAAGAGCCCTTGCCTCCAAGGAGCAGCCTGGATTCACCTCTCTAAAACTAATCTGGTATATTTAATACTCTTCTTCAGCACCACAGCTCAAATGAATCAATTCTCCTTCTATAATCCTTACTCATTTTCCAGCTTTCTGATGCATAGCAACTAATTTCAAAGACCATGGGCTGGATCAGATGCACCTTAGTCTCCAGACTGATATCGTTGCTCTTTAGTTACCTGAATAGTTCCCTGACAGTAGATTTGTCCAGTGCAATTCGTCTTTTAATTTCCTGGCTGCTGATAACAAAAGTGTTGATTGTGGAGCCAAGCAAACTGAAGCTGTTAACAATCTCAATCCCTTCACCATGTATTATGATGTTGTCAATCAGCCCATTGGTGAGATTCTGTTTCCTTGATGTTAAGCTTCAATCTATATTGAAGGCTGCAGTCCTTGACCTTCTGCAGCAAGCGCTTCAGGTCCTCCTCAGTTTCAGCAAGCAGGGTTGTGTCATCTGCATAGCGTAGATTGTTAATGAGTCTTCCGCCAATCCTGATGCCACATTCCTCCTCATTGAGCCCAGCCTCTCATATGATCTGTTCTGCATTTAGATTAAAAAGGTATGATGATAGGAGACGTTCTTGGTGTACACCTTCCTGATTTTGAACCATGCAGTGTTTCCTTGCTCTGTTCTGAGGACTTCCTCCTGGTCCAAGAATAGGTTTTCCATAGAAACAAACAATAACATTTGCTTGGTTTTGTCAGTGACACATGAGATTAATCTGTTATCCTAGACACACCTCACTTGAAAAGAAGCAGCATTTTA